AAAGAGTAGTAGTATGCTCTAGGCTTGGGGAGGGGAATGGCAGCAGCAAAGAGCTAAGAGTAGTAGTATGCTCTAGGCTTGGGGAAGATATTCCTTCCATACCTGCTTACACTGGAAGAGTCCCGCAGCTGGGAACACCTGGGTCTTGAGCTGCTATTGCATCTTGCCTATAATTTAGCAATTCAGGGGCAACAACAGAGCTTCCATGATCTGTTGGCAGCTCCACATCACCAGTGAGGGCCTGAGCTTCAGAGGGCTGAAGTCTTTTGGGCCAGGAGGACCTTTTGTAATGAGCTTTGCCTGTGCTTTGCAGCTCCACGTGCAGGAGAGGTCTTCCAGCATGGCCTTTGGGCTGCTCTTTCCTTCTTTTTATAGGGCTTGCATAGGTGTTGATGGGTGCTGAGGGCCCTGCGTGGCAAAAACCTTATGGTACTGTAGTCATTTAGGGTAGAATGATGGTCTTCTGATGGTGGTCTTCTGATGTTGGATCTGAAACATGGGTTTCCTCCCTAGAAAAGCCCGGTGGTGGGTAGTATGTCTCCCATCGCCTTCTTAATTTTGGGGTGCTTGGAAGTTTTTGGTGCCCAATGGTGTTTCATGTAAGAACGGATGTGTGTGAAGACCTGAAGAAGCCATGTGGTGGTCCCTGCAGTGCTGAGCTAATGCAATGAGACACTAAAAACAAGAGTGTCTAGTCCAGAGCTAACCCTTCCCTAAGCTCCACTTTCAGACATGGGTTCAGACTTCATTCCTTACATGAGTACTTTTGGATCACGGTGTTAAAACTTCTGCAGGCCATCGCCTAGCCACAGTTGAGTCATCTCCCCCCTCCAGAATGTCCCTGTGAGCATGTGTGGATGGGGAGAGCGCTTTTCTCCTCTTGCCCATGTCTAGCTGGAGTTCCCATAGGGCAAGAAACAGCATTTTTTGCTTTGTGGCTCACAGAGCAGCGCGAGGTGGAAGGAGGGTCCAAGGAATTAGGCCGCGTTCCAGCAGAGATCTTCAAGCACTTGTTCAGCAAATGCTTTAGCTGTTATCACACCCAAGTCCTTCTGACTCCCTGCCAAAACCAAAGGGAGCCCTTCAGGATTTTGCACTGGGACTGGGGCGCGTTTACTCGTGTGACTAGGGTGTCCCTCACAGGTAATGTTGCCCAGTGAACGAGACCTGGGAGGCTGGTGTGGCCGCATGTTGTTCTGCTCTGCATCAAAGGCACCATCCAGGTTTGCACCAGCCTTTGTGGTACAAATGCTTGCTTGTGGGGACAAAAAATAGTTGGAGGACAGGAGAGAAACTGTAGGTTTCAGCAGCCTGTGCTGGCTTAAACTGGGTATAAAACTGTGGTCTGAGGTTCTGATTCCCCTTGGCAGGAGGACAGCTACAGATGTGCTTCACGTGTACCTGGGTAAGGAGCAAAGAGCTTTCTGCACCCATTTTGGGGCATACCCTTTGATTTTGCTTGCAAGTTGAAAGCAGAAATGGAGCATGGCTATCTACAGCATTTTTAAGCCCTGTGTGGACCTCCTGTCACTTGGACCCTCTGAGGAACCAGCAGTTACATACCCACCACCCCAAAGAGGGAGAGGAGAAGTAAATGCCATAGCGAGACTGAGGTAGATTTCCTTCTGGTAGCCCCTACAACCTCATGTTTCTCTCTCAGAAGGACTAAAACCTGCTGATTCCCCCCACCCTCCATTCATGTCTAGAGTTTTTGAATGCAGTAAGTGCAGATGAGGCAGCAAGCTGCAGACTTTGCTCTCTGCAGGATCCCTTACAGAGCAAGGCGTGAGTGTATGTGGATGAGCTGAAGCAGCAGGTAAATTAACACCCGTTCCTGGAGCTGTGCCCCTTCCCGCTGAGCCCATCTCAGGTGCAAACCAAAGGGTTTCTTGCAGGCAGAAGCCTGCAGCAACATTAGGATGCTCCCCAAATAGCTGTTTAAAAAGACCTAAAAGCAGGTAGCAAGCAGGCAAGGTTTTTCAGTGTCTCCTTAAGGCAAGCAGCCTGAAAATCTATTTTAGGCAAACATGTGCATTCGTCCATCCAAAACTTTCTGTATTATTTACTGGACTTGCCTAAACTTTGAGCGCTGAAAAGCTGTGAAGGGCCTTTCTCTTGGCATGTTTGCTGTTTGCAGAGCTGGGTCTGCCTGTTTGCAAGCAGAGCTTACTCTTAATCTGTAACTTGTTCCAGAAAAGACAAGTGTCTTGGGGGAAGGGAGCCTGGGCTTGGTGCAGGATTTAGCAGGCTCAAGTACACGCTGCTTGCTGGTCCCAGAGCCGATGCAACTCCTGCTTAGCTTTTTTTTTTTAAAAAAATATTTTCGTTTCAAAGTGCACAAGAAACATTAAACCTCGGAGTAGCTCCGTGTGCTGCATTGCAATCTGTGGGCCTTGGCCCGCTGTGCAGGTGGAGGAAACAGAGGCTACACAGTATTGCCTGAGGTTAGAGCCAGAGATAGCTCAGCCAGGATTAGATTTTGGGTCTGCTTCCCAGGCAAATGGTTTATTAAACCAACCTGCTTTCTAGGAGATTGGGGTTGGGGAAGGAGAGGAAATTTCCATCTAGCGCCAAAGCAGGGTAAAGCTTTTCCTGGGTTTCAGATGATGGAAATATGTATTTCAGGGAAAAGCCCAGAGAGCTGAGCATTAGCTATCAGCCAGTACCCACCTTAAATGAAACAAAGGTATTTACTCATTACTTTATAAAATAAAACGATATCACACTCCCGGCACTCGAGGCACTGCGCCTTCTGTTGCCTGCTGATTTAAACTGCTATTTAGCAAAAAATGCTTAATCCGCTCTAGCAAAGTATGGTGCGAGCATCAACGGAGCAAACATCAAGCTTTAACAAGGAGGGTCAATATTGACACTGCTCTGCGTTGAGGGATATTGGTAGGTTGTTTTTATTATAGTAAGCAACTTGTCAGAGGAAAACTCCGATGGAGCTTTGCAAGTGCCGATAAAACCTGCAGGTGCTAGTGAAATCGAGCCCTCGCTGGCATGTGCTCAGAATGTAATTCCCTGTTTCAGAAGCCGGTTTTATGATTTTCCCTTCCTCCTTCCCCCTTCAAATCTCTCCCACGACGCAGATGAAACAGTCTGCCGGAGAAAGAGTTATTGAAGCAGCGAACGCCTCTTAAAAATGCAAGGAGGTCTTTCTGCCCTTATGGGGTTGCCCCAGATCGTGGACATTGCCTATCTGGTTTGGAGATGTCCCCACTTGGAGGCGGTGGGAAGGGGGGTCAGGCTGGTGCTCAGGGTAGGATTTGGCTAAATAGAGTTCAGCTTCTCTGCCTGACACCCTCTGGACTTGGTCCAGGCACTTAGTCTTTGTGCTCCAGCTCTTCCTCTGTTAATGGGGGATCGGTTGCTTCTCCAGTTGGATATCATGTGTTTGCTTGCATTGTTGGTAGATGGATGATCATGTATGGCCATCATGGGCCATATTCAGGGCATGGAGTTCATATCTGTTTCTGGGCTTGGTGTTTTCTCTGCTGGCCTGAGCAATGCTGTACTCCGTGCCTTGTAAAGACCACATTTAATCACCTTTTAGAGACCTTTTAGAGGTGTCTGATTTGCTATGCTGCCCAGGAATCAAACACCCAGTTGCATTTGGATCATTTAGCTGTGGCCCTGCCTACCTTAATCTCAGTATTAAAGGTTGCACTTGCTTCGGAGAAGGCAGTCATGAGAGCACTGCAAAATTTTCCACAGATACTTAGCTCTGCATTTTTCAAAGGTGTAGCTAGCTATTCTGGGAGCACGGTGCTTTCATTTCACCATCCTGCAGGACCAATTCATGCTTTCTACACAGTTGTCAACACATTTTATTAGAATGCCTACATTTTCTTTGATTGCAATCCATCAAAGTAATGGCCAGGTCTGACCTTGCCTTGGGTCGGGTGATCCTGAAGCAAGGTGACTGCCAGAATTGATGGTCGCTAGCTTTGAGGTACTGTTTCTGGGGTCTCCACATCCCTGTTGTGTGTTTAGTTCCTTTCCTCTTCCCATTGTCCTTTTTAAACCCATCTTTGAGATACCACAGAGCAGAGTATTTCTAAATGAAAGGGGGATTTAAAAGGCATAAGACAGAACAGACCACCTGTAGACCTGAGTTCCGTTATTTGGCTCCTATTTTGTTCTCTGTATCTATAACTGTATTTCTGTTCTGTGCCATACGATGGCTATGTGGAAGTTGTTCCACTTTGGGACCTCCTGGTTCTTTCATGGAAGACTCTTAGCTAGGTTAAAGCCAACGTGAGTAGAGGCTCCTTTGTGGTGCCAAGCATTAGTCTGTGGTGGCCAGAGTTGTTTGAATGATAATGCTTATGTGTCCAGGAGCTTTTGATGAAAGTCACACTTGTGGTCCGTATGACTCACACTGCCTCTCCATACAAGTGAAAATATGGGATTTACCATAGGGAGACTCACCAAAACAAGCCTGAAATGAGATCTGAGTAAGGAACTGCCTTCAGTCTGGCCCTCCTCTGCAGAATGGCTGTTACCTTTTCTCAGTTATCTCCTACCCACCTAAGAAATCATTTATTTTACATGGTGTTTCCTGAGCTGCATGGTGGTGAAGGCATGCTTGTTTCGTGGGACACCTCAGGAAATGGCAAATTGCACCTTGGAGGGGAAGCAGACTTTCCTAAGCATGGTTTCTGTCCTTAAAAAGGTACTGGGTTACCTTTACAACCTCCTGTTAGGGTGCTGTGGTTGAAGCACTTGCCAGAGGTGACCTCAGTCTAGTTCTTGGCTTCACCACAAGCTCTAGGTGTGAACTTGGGCAAATCTGACCCCTCTGTTGCTCATTTCACGCCTGCACAAGGAGGATATTCCCAGACAGCACTGGAGAAGTTCATATCTTTAAGGTGGTTAGTTCTTAGAAAGACAAAGACATTAACGCGTGCAAAAAAGCACAGCGTGGTGGCAACGTGTCTCCTGGGACCTGTTTCTGATTTTGCCCGACCATCTTTTGGACTTGTATTTTATTTCAGGACCAGGACGTGGGGAAGCGGAGACGAGGGAATGCATCTACTACAACGCCAACTGGGAGCTGGAGAAGACGAACCAGAGCGGCGTGGAGCGCTGCGAAGGGGAGAAGGACAAGCGGCTCCACTGCTACGCCTCGTGGAGGAACAACTCGGGCTCCATCGAGCTCGTGAAGAAGGGCTGCTGGTTAGATGACTTCAACTGTTACGACAGGTAAGAGCCTAACTGTTCTTTTTTGTCCTTTTTTTCTGAATGCGAGTGTAAATTGTTCCTCTGAGTGCAAAGGCCTCTGATTTTGCATAGAGAAAAAGAAAGCAAGTCCAAGTCGATTGGCCCATTCATCCCCTGTAATTACTTCTGTTGCTAATGTAGCTCTCAGAATTGTCACTTATCTGCCTTTACCTTCTAAATAGAAGCCGGAAAAGGGCACTTTTAGGCTTTTTTGTTGTGGGTTTTCTTCCCCCTTCCCCCGCACCCCCTTTGCAAAGCTTTGATAATTCTGGCATGCTTTGAAAAACGTGTCCTGTACCATCAAATGAAGAGCAATATGTTCTTCCAAGAGCATTTGGCAATACAAAGGAAAACTTGGAATCATTTGGAGCTCTTCAGAAAAACACAGTTATCTGGGGGTGTTTGGAGGTTGAGATATTCTGGCACTTGTTGCAAAAGTTTTGCTATTGTGGCTGAATTAAGGGAAAGGAATAGAGAGAAGGATTGGGGCAACAAAAGCAAATGCAAGTTGGGGTGTTGCTGAAGAGAAGAGAGGTTTGGCAATATGAAGGCTCCAGACTCATTACTTATCTGAAAAAATAAACTAGTCTCTTCTCATTCTCCTTGATGTGATTCTGCAGAGAGGAAGAAAACTACAGCTCACAAAAATATCCCTCCTAAAAGGCAACGTTCAGTAGTTCTAGATTAGGGCAGTGTTTAAGACAAAGCAAAACAGACTGTGAATAAGGAGAACATACTTTCCAAGGGTTTGCCATGGTATAACACCAACACAGGGTGATCTTCCCTTTGTACAAGCGCAGTGATAGTCCCAGCACATGTTCATAGCTCTTCCATCTTTTGAGATTCCGTAATTTTAGGACATCAGGTTTCTGTTCCAAAACTGAGAAAGCCATCCCCAGGTAGTGCTCCTCCAAAGCAACTGAAACCACAGGGCTCCCATGGGGACCAGCTTTTGATCCCAAGGCAGGTTTCATCTCCTTGCTGTCGTTTGCTGCCCTAGGTCTTGTCGCCATTCCCCTAGATTGTGAATCCTCCTGCATCTTCCTTCTGTTCTTGCTCCTGGAGTTACTTTCCCATCACACCTATTCCCTTGCCCGCTGTGTAGTAAAGCTCTAAATATAGTTAAATTTTTTTTCTTCCTTGATAAAGCCATCCTTTCTTGGCCCATTAGTCATCTTAATGCTGATCCTTGTGAGAACAGAAGGTCACTCTCATTTCCTACTTCTAGGCAGAAGTGTTTGCTGTAAACAGGTTTCTCCTTTTAGTGCCTGCTTTCATGCACAACAAGGCTTGTGCTATAACTGAGAGCCTCTGTGCCATCTCGTAGTGGTTCTTAATCTTTGTCATGACACATTCTCCATTGCAAAAGTGGGCAGGCCCCGTGGTCAGCCTTTTTTGCAGCGCGGATGTTGAGCATCCTTCATCCCGCAGCCTCCTCCTTCCGAGGTGCCGTCACGGGGCACAAAGGAAGGATCTTCTGCGGATTAGTGAGCAGCACGGGTGCAGGAAGCCACAGTTGAAATAATGGCTAGCTTCAATTAAATAAAGACTGTCTAAATGGAGTGTCTTTTTCCCTTGAGTGCCCTCTTCGATCTTCCATGATGGTGTTATGGTTTGGTCGCAAGAGTGGCAGAAAAAGGGGTCGAGCAGTTGCCATTTGGATGTCTGGCGCTGAGCGGGCAGGATGCAGCATGTGGGGAGCATGGACGATGCTCCTGTGCCAGGATGTCCCCTGCATGAAGGACACGTCCGCTTCCTATATCCTGGCAATGCAGGAGGGTGTTTAGGACGTGGTTCCCTCCTCTGCCCTTTATCTTAAGGGGGCAAGAACGGGGTATGTTTAAGGCTATACAAAATAGGTCCTGCTTAAAAATCACCCGCCTGCTCTTGGTTTATCCCCACTGGAAAGGTCATGCTGCCGTTTCCTCACAGAGCCGGGAGCCGCTATGAACTGTGCGGTCGCTGCCACGGAAAAATGTGTCGCTCTGCCCCCCTGTATGGCTTTTAATATTTGCTAAATGTAACATGTTGTATGTACCTGGGCAGCTGCCCTGAGCATCCACCGACTCCAAGGCAGGGGGAACGAGCTGCAGATGTGGATGTTTTCACTCATTAAGCTGCTTTCTTAACCGACAGATTTAGCGAAGGATGTGTGTTTTTTTGCAGAAGACTCGGATACTGATGCTGTTAAATCCAAACAGCTCGTTATCTGGTTTCGAGAAAAAGCATCTGGAAACATTGCTTAACTTGTTGAAACATCTTTATTCATTTGGATAAATTTTTTTTTTCCTTTGAAGCTAAAAAAAAAAAAAAAACCCAAACCAAACCAAAAAAAAAACCCAGACCAAACCAAGTACTTCCCAGCAAAAGACATTTCGGCTGAAGCTGCTTTTCTTCCCCAAAAGGAGTGAAGTACTGAAAACTCTCCCGCCTTGTGATTTAAGAGAGCCTTTTCCATTCCTCCCCTAGCAGTGTGCCGGTGAAAGGGAGGCTTGGCATGGATTCATAAATGAGTAGTAATGTCAAACACATATGATTGTTTTGCTGCTTCCTCCGAGTGGTTGAAGGAAGGAAGTTATGCATATAATTGAGCAGGTCCTCAGGAAATAGTTTGATACAGTTCTGTGCAGAGAGCAGCTCCACGGCCGTAATAACTAAAGGCAGGGGGTCACATACCAAAAAAATGGCAGAGAAGGGAAGAAATAGGCTACTATAGCACTGCAGAAATCGCCAGTCTCTTTTGCAGTGGTCTGTGGGGAAGAGAGGATGTGAGGAAGACGATTGGAGCTGGTCTGCTGTGTGGAAGTCACCTAAAGCCTTGCAAAAGGCAGAAGGAAACCTCCATCCACGGGTGCCTGGATGATGGGCGAATAAGCAAAAATAGAGTTGCCACTTGGGTTTCTTAGAGGCTTGGTGCCTTCGTGCAATCACAGGCTTTCTAAAGGAGGAGACTTTTTCCCTCCCTCGCTGTCAGCCAGTGATGCTTGCTGTTATTTACTACTCGCCACCTGATGCCTCCAATATATACAGAAGCGTTTGTTTCTTTTGTGGCCTTTTTAAGGGTCCTGGCTGTCCGTGGGGACATGCAGGAGCCCTGGTGGCTTTGTCTCCGTTGGGGAGGCTCAGCTGCCGGTGCACGGGGGCATCGCGTGGACCTGGCGAACGGGCCGCGTTCGCGGTGCCGCTTATTTTAAGTGCTCTGTTTGGGAGCACTTCAGAGGGCAGTGGCTGGAAAAGGGATGCCTGGGGTTTTCCAGCACTGCGTTTGCAAGACCAACCTTCTTAATTTTTTACTTTCCTTCTTCATTTCCTCCTTTCCTTCCAATGTCCAACTTGCAGGGGAAGAGAGGACCGCCTCCTCGGTTGCTTCCAGGACACAACCCACTGTTTTTTCCCCCAAGGATTCTCTGCACCAGATCAAGTGGAGTAGAGGCCCCACGGGGCAAACAAAATAGCATGAAAGCAAAATAGTGCACTCATGATGGTGCTTTTAGCTGCAGAGGGGGGCTCAGTGTCCTTGTTTGCCAAGCTCTGGACTTTTTTTGCTTTCTGGATTTAATTTCCCCATTGCCTATTCCCAATTCCATACCAAAGCCTCCAAGGCTGTAGCAGAGCAGCCCCCTTGATTATTCTCTTAAGAAAAGAGAGGAAAAAGTTGTTTTGTGTAAGTGGAGCCTGCAGATGTGTGGTATGCAGGCAGCAGGGCAAGGTAAATAGGAAAGTCAATTTGCAGGCAGTGCCGAGACAATAGGAAGGAGTTTGCTGACTTTTGTCTTCCTTTTCCCTTTGTTCCTCCTGTTTGTCCTTTCCCTGTGCAGGCAGGAATGTGTTGCCACGGAGGAAAATCCGCAAGTGTTTTTCTGCTGCTGTGAAGGCAACTATTGCAATGAGAAGTTCACACATTTACCTGAAGTTACTGGTCCAGAAGGTGAGTGAATCTTGGGGAAGGGTCTGTTTGTCCTCGCTTGGTCCATGGTGCCCGTGGGTTGATGAGGGTTGAGACAAAAAGAGTAGAACTGAAAGGCTACAAGGCATCATTGTGGTTACAAATGCTACAAGCCATTTTGCTGGATAATTTTGCAAAAGTCTTTTTAATGTTATTTCATAGCAAGGGTTAAATTTTCTCTATGGTGAGGGTTGGCAGTGGGGGTCTTCCAAAAGGAAACCTTGCTCAAGGGCAAAAAGGACAATTTACACAGCAGGGATCAAGAATCAGTCCCTTAAGGGTAATTTATTTTCTTCATTATATATCCTCATATTTTTCATAGGCCATAGACCCCCAAATGTATCGGGCAGCCTGGTTCTCTGCATTTTGTTAGCTCACTCACGGTATTTTACTGATTTGGAGATTAAAAGCAAATGGGTGCATGTCTCAGCTTTCAGACTTTGTGGATATGTTTGCAGGGAAAAAAAGCAATAGCATGCCCTTCTTTGAGGGCTAATAGGAAAATGATGCTTCTTTTTGCTGTAGGCTTGCCAAAATGTTGTTCAATAAAAATTATTAGAGCAGGTGTATCCTTTCCTTCAGATGGGTTCTTTTGCTATCAAAGTATGTGCATTTACTGAGACGTTCCAGCAGGCCGTTATCAGCTTTTCCTGGACATTCCTGTTAGGTTTTTAATTGTTTACATGTTTTTATTATCTCCTGTTATTAATGTACCCGTAGCAACCTGGTAGCAAATATTCTTTCTCTCACACGTTGCTTTTTTTGCTGTTGTTGTTGTTGCATTTGGCAAGCGGTGCTATTTTTTCCTTGCATGCCTCCAACATAGCAACATGGCTCCGTTTAGTATTCCCATTGTTTGTGTCTCAACTGCACTGATGTAATTTGGAACGAGAACTACTGCGGGAATAGAGTGTTCGATTGTGGCTCCTGCAGCATTTTGCTAAAAACTGACAATTTGTCAATCGCTGCGCGAAGAAAAGCAGCGTGGAGAGGGGTTTGGGGCTCCCTTAATGCCCTTGGAAGGGTTATGGGGAGGGAAGTATCTGCCCTTACGTACCCCGGCAGGAAATTCCCTCCGCCGCTCATGGGCATCATTAATAAAGGTCACGTGGAGGCTCAGCAAAGTGTGGTTTGATCCGTTCTCTTTGCATATAGTAGCAGTATGGAAAAGAGTAACGGGTCCTTATGAGGGCCATTGGATATTGGAAAATGAGAGGTGCCACGCTGAGCATTGTCTGCTTTGGAAAGCAGAAAAGCAAGTGGTTGGTTGTACCTGGAGCTGCCAGTGCTGTTGCAGGCCTCAAGGATCGTTTCTCACCTCCAACCTGCTCTTCCCTTGCAGTCATATACGAGCCACCACCACCAACGCCCTCCCTGCTCAACATCCTGGTTTACTCTCTGCTCCCCATCGCTGTCCTGTCCATGGCCATTCTCTTGGCCTTCTGGATGTACCGGCACCGCAAGCCTCCCTACGGGCACGTGGACATCAACGAGGTGAGCGAGAGACCTCTGCCTTCCCAACAGTGCAGGGCAAGAGAGCAGGAGCTTCCCTATGGTTGGTCTTCATGGAAGATGCAAGGGCTGATCAGTATGTGCTCAAGTCCTCTTTTGTCTTGACATTTCCAGGCGATGATGAGGTGACGAGAATTTTTCTGCTCTGTCTTTTTGAGCCCTGTTCTGCAGTCAGCCTCTGTGCTCTGTTAGCCTCCCCTTGAGGCTGTTGGTTTTAACTCGAATTATAAGGTTTTCCTGAGTTCCTATGGGATAGCTCACACGGTCTGTTTGGTGTCCACCTTTCCACCGACGCTCTCAATCCTAATGTTTGATTTTAACCAACTTTTCAGGGGAGCAGAGCTTGAGAAATTACAAAATCTCTACCGGTTTTATGGGAGGAGGGGAGATATTTTCCCCTTCGCAATTCATGTTTTATGAGACATCAGAGAATGCATGGAGGGCCCTCCAGCCCAAAGCCACCAGAAACTGGTCTTTGCTTGTTCTGCTGCCCAGAGTGTCGGCTTTCTTACGAGGGGACGAGTGGCCACCTCTCCTTGCACCCAGCAGGGCCTGAACAAACCATGCTCTGAACTTTCCAAATATGAAATTAGATATGGACAGAGCTCCAACACCAAGCTTAAAGCTGGGCTACGTTGTTCTTCCATAAAAACAGAGAGTTTCAACAGATACTATCTTTATTACGCTGACAGACCTGTTCGCTGCCCATCGCTAGGCTTATGCAAAGCACTCCCAACAAAATGCAACGCAGTTGGAAGTTTGAGCTGTGTTTTGCTATTGGGTCACAAAGATCGAAAAGTTCTCGCTTTTGGAAGGAGGTAGCCTTGACGTAGATCCACGTTTGACAGCTCAAAATAGCTCTTGCTTTGAAAACACAAGAGAGTTTAGGTTTTGCCAGAGGGTGATGCTCAATTCAGTCTTTGCCAGAGGATGACTTGTGTGTGCCAAACTACACCATGACACACAAAGTGGCACTTGAAGGTGTGGATGGTTATGTATGTTCTGTATAAATATTCTAGAAAGCAAAATAGGGAAATGCATTGCTCTTAGTAGTATCTCTTCTCGTTTTTGCAGGATCCTGGGCCACCACCCCCTTCTCCGCTGGTTGGCCTGAAGCCTTTGCAGCTCTTGGAGATCAAAGCCAGGGGACGTTTTGGCTGTGTCTGGAAAGCTCAGCTGATGAACGACTACGTAGCAGTGAAAATCTTCCCAATTCAGGTGAGAAGGGCTTGGGATTAGGTTGTCAGCAGCAGGATCTGCTCGCCAGTGTTGAGATGTTCCCTGAGCCTATGGAGGTGTATTAACACCCTAACAAACATATGTGTCGACTCTTCTGCTGAGGGAAAAGAGCTCAAGGACCCTCCCTCCCTCATATTTTTCTCTGTGTTATCACATTAGCAAGTGCTTTGCATAGTGGTTGTTGCAAGAAGGACAGATTTGAAACCAGCAGTCCCAAGTGTCTTCTCTGCAAGTGTCAGTGTTGTTAGAAGTCCAGCGTGCCACGACGGTGCCCCAAGCGCACGCAAAGGACCAAATCCCCAGCTTTGTGTGGCTTGCCTGGGGAAATCGTAAATCCAGACCCAAACCTAACAAACAGTTTGCAGCCTACAAAGGCAGAGTCCCAGTGCTGTGAAAGCTGATTGTGCTGGAGCATTTCTGCGAGCTTGTATCTTCCACCCTGGGAAACCATGGGACGTTCCTGTCTCTCTAGGAATTGCAAATGGCAGCAGGAAAGCAATCACAAATCCGGTGAATGAAGAAAGACTGCAACGTCTGCACTATCACCTTATTCATTAATTTTTCTCCTCCTGTTTGTTTTCTTGGCATTGCTGGAGGAGATGTGCACATCTTCTGTCCAAACCAGCTGTGACCTACTAGTAAATTTTCAATGGGATCTAGATTAGATTACACGGTTTTAACTATTACAACTACAGTGCAGATCTGGATGATGCATGCATGATTCCTGCCTGCTTTAGGAAACCTTGAGAAATCTTATTTCTCAATGATGTGGCATTTAGATCCCCGCCTCGACATGTTTTAGAAATATCTGAGGGTAATTTTGGACAGAAGAGATGAGAGCAGCAGCTTCCAGTCTTTCTCCATCTCCTATCCTTTAGGAAAGCAATCTCATTTTAATAGGATGTATCGTGTCCTAACTTCTGAGAATTATATTAAGAGGAATGTGAGCAGCTCTGCCTGAGCTGGAGGAGCTGTTTGCTTTAAAAGGAAGTGTGGTCTTTGATCGTGCATTTCTCCCTGCTTTAGGATAAGCAATCTTGGCAGAGTGAGAGAGAGATTTTCAATACCCCTGGCATGAAGCATGAAAACCTTTTGCAGTTTATTGCAGCAGAGAAAAGAGGGACGAACCTAGAGACGGAGCTGTGGCTCATCACGGCTTTCCACGACAAGGTAATGTGTCGCTGCCCACCCATTTTGGTCTGACCATGAAGCAGCAGTTTTTGGTATCTAATATCATCCCCGTAGCTACCCAAGGTCTCAACTGTCCTGCCAAGCCATCTTTCAGTGGAAGAGAAGTATTCCGGCTCCCCTTCTTCAAACGCCCTTCCCTTAGCTTTTAAGGCTCTCCAGGACAAATATTGGACTAAGAAAGGTGGGACTGGGAGAGAGGCACCAGAAGAGGCCACTGTTCATGCCATAGTGCATGCGGGAGAAGCGGGGGGTCACAGACCACCATAGTCCTTACTTGGCCCTCATAGATAGGCACTGTATTTACTTTTGCAGCTCAGGGCGTCTCTCTAGCTCATGGATTGCCTTAGTTATCAAACACGGCTAACACTTAAAATAAAGCAAACACGCACAAATCCAGGGCTGAGCCAGCAGTGCTATCCCTCCGTTTAATCCAAGGTCTACCGAGTCAATGATTTCCACAGCCAGCTGATAGGATACGTGATCTTCTTGCAGGGAAGACTCCCCCTTTTAGGCTGGATGAATTGCTCTGGATTGTGGGGATTCTTGTCCCTTCCGTGTCTCCCTCCTATTCCCTGGCAGATCCATAAACTTGAGACTCGTTTTGGAAGTCCAGATGCTGTCTGCTGTGGGAAAGGGCTGAGGACTCAAGAACACTCCTGAGATTTTTTTTCCCTTCTTTTTTTACTTTTGCTAGTGATTCCTTTTTTTTTTTTTTCCTCCCCTATCTAATCAAGGTTCAAATTTCTCAAGCACTCATTACAATCATTTTCTAAACTGATGAGTTGGCACATCTGTCACTTCGGCGGGGTCTGTCATTAAGAACGTGCGATGTCCTATTTCTCAGGGCTCCCTGACGGATTACCTGAAGGGGAATATTATCAGCTGGAACGAGCTCTGCCATGTTGCGGAAACGATGGCCCGTGGACTGTCCTACCTACACGAAGACGTCCCCTGGTGCAAGGGTGAAGGACACAAACCTGCAATTGCACACAGGTACAGCCTCTTTCATTAATGCTTTTCCAGTGCCCTGGTCAAAGTTCATGGCTGCTTTGCAGCGGTGCTGCTGAGCCAAGGAGGAAACTGGGTTTGCAGGAAGTCAGTACTTTTTAATCCAACAAAGTCTATGCTAAGACATGATTTTTTTTTATCCCTTTCTGGAATGGTGAAGGACAGGTAGTCAACATTTTGTCTGTGAAATAGTAATAAAGGTGGGTAATGGTTTAGGGCAAATGTCAAGGGTAGGAGCTTCCCTCCACCTTTAGCTCTTCTTGTGACCTATGGGAATAGGATTCAGACTGCTGCTGAATCCCTGGTTAATTCCCTTTGAAAGGGCTGTGCTCCGTAAGTTGCATCTTCCCACAGAGCTGTAGATCATTAGGAAAGAAATGGAGAAATAGCAAATGCCTGCTGCTTATTTCTCGTGGTAGTTTTACAACACTCAAATCTTGCCAGGGTGCTTGTTAAAGATGTTGGAAGAAGCGGCCGGTGCCTTCTGGATCTCTTGGCACCCGCTTGGCCTGCACCGGGCAGCAGCACCACAGGGACAGACAGCCCGAGTAGGATGGGGGTTGCAGCATCCCCGCTGCAACGAGACCCTCTTGCAGGTCCCTGATCGCCCCCGTTGCTTGCCCTGAGCTATAGCCACGCTGCTGAGCCGTTTGCTAACGGCACGGTGGGAGGAGGGGGGTTTTCCACAAGGATTTGCACGGCTGCACGTGGTAATCCACAGCCCGGCTCCCCACCGCGCTTCATCTAGGAGGGACTTAAAGCCACGTCCAGCTGCAGCAGTTTGTGTCTCATCTAGTGGGGCTCTAGGGCGAGATAAGCCCCAAAACCACCCAAGCAAACCCCCAAACCTTCGGATGGCCCCAAAGCGCGAATCCGCAGCCGCCTTTGTGCGGCTCCTGGGGCTGACCCCGTGTCCCTGACATTTGTCCCCAGGAAATAAAGGCAGGGATTTCTATGGGGAAATTCCTACGGGCGGGGGGCAGAGGAAGGCTCAGGAATGGGTTTAAAGCAACAGGTCGTGCTCGTTAGTGTCCCCATCCATTTAGCAAATGATAAAAGATGGAGAACGCGTCACTGGTGTGTGCAAGCAGAAAATACCGACAGCAGAAGGAATGTCAGGAAGCAGGTTTCCCGCGGATTGTGGATTGCTCCACTCTTATATTTTTTTTCCCCCTTTTTCCCCTAAAAATGCCTTTTAGAGCTGGGGGATGTTGTGGAAGGGCCAGGGAGATGCCTGCCTGCCCAGCAGGGCTCCCTGAGTCGCCGGTTCCAGCTACCTCAGAGACACCGCTGGCCCCGGCTTGGAAAGGAGGATGGAGGTTATAGGATTGCTTGTCGGTGCTCAAGTGCCCCCGCGTGGAAGCTGGAAAGAAAAGCTCCAGCATCTAAGTTGTGTTCCCACACTGCTTTCCCTAGAGCGCTCGCCCTCTACTTCCCTAGTCCAAAAAATTACACTGCAAGGGGTATTTTCTCCCTTTCAGGCTTTTGCAGCACTTCTGAACAGGAAAGGACCCATTTTAGGGTCTCTTTTAATGTTCACTGTTGTCAGTGGGTGTTTTCTGTTGGATCAGGCCTTTTGCCCAAGCCTGGATGATTGCACCCTGTTGACAATTGATAGTTTTGGATGGTTTGTGAAAAGGAGGACACCGTGGAGAAATGGGGAAGTCTATGGGGCTGGGAGGGAAAAAAGGGATGCGCAAATGGAAATCTTCGCATGTATGTAATCTGGTGTATAATGTGTATCTGGTCAAGATATAGCACCTAGCTGCTGCATGTCTGAGGTTGCATGAGCCAAGAGCCCCTACAAAGATCTTATCTTAGATCTCGCTTCGGACTCGTGCTGTTCGGACGGGCTGTCTCATGATTTCGATGTGGTCCCTCTCCCAGCTGAGCCACTGTTGTGCAAAAATCTCTTGTACAATCTGTACCAGAGCGTAATCCCCTAATGTTGACCGAGCAAAGTAGTTTATCTGTGTCATTACGATTGCTGCTATTTTTAAGCCTGTGGGGAAACTGCTGGAGCATAGAGCCAGCTAGTCTCTAAGATGGCAAATGTGTTTTTTATGTGTAACGGAGATGTACAGATGTTTTGCAGATACTGCAAAACTGAACTGTGTCTTTAGAAACCCTGTGTCCCATTGAGGCTTTGGAGTCTCTTTTCTGCTGGAGTTCCTAGCTGCATTTGACTACCCAACCTCACAGCTGTACATGGGAATAACCAACTCACTTCCCCTTCTTAATCTTTGAGCTGGAAATGTCCATCCTGTGTTTTAGCTTGGCATGATGCTGTGCTCTGGGGGAAAAAAAAAAACATTTTTTCCCCCCTTTATTTTTTGTTTTGAAGCTACGAATCAAGGGCTGGATGGCCCAGAGTGATTTTGTGTGTGGTGCTTTGAATTGGTTTCCTGGCATCTGAGGACACAGTGAGCAGCCCTGCAGAACGGTCCAGCAGTTTCTCTCTTCCCGAAGATTTTTGACAGGTCACTCCAGTGCGGAACAGTCGTATCTGCCCTCATTAATTATTTTGTGCAGGCCCGCAATGTCCTGCAATCAGCAGGGTCACTGAGTGAATTGATGATAGGGAAATTATAACGCTGAGCATACGGGACAATTGCCATCTGCTGTCTAAGGTCTGTAATTTAATTATATTGCCAAACATTCCTTATCAGATGAAAGTGTGGGAGGCCCAAGGCGCAAGGCTCGGCTGGCTAAGCATCTCGGGGTGTTCATCCTCCTCATGCCCTTCCTGGCTATGGCAGCTTGGGCAGGCTTACCCAAAATGACACCTCTGTGGCGCAGGACTCGGACCTGAAAGTCATCTTCTCGCCCAGTGCCACCACCCATACTGAAGAGGCTTTTGTCCATTGGGCTGTCTGATCCTGACCCTCATCCACATGTGGATCCAGCCAGTTCTCTCCTTCCCATCTCCACCCTCCAAACTCTGAGGGAGATGAGTCCAGTGGTTAAAACATAAGTGTAATAGATGACCAGGGCAAAAGTCTGTTAAAGAGCGTAGGCAGGGCGAAGAGAGTCCTGCTGGCATCTGCTCATTTCCAGGTCTGGTTTTGTAGGCAAGAGTGAACTTCCTCCCTAGGATAGAGATCGTCAGTGAATCCCCTTAATTGGGATTGCATTTGGGATTGCGGGTCAGAGACACAGCAATGGCCTGGAGTTTGGGCTCTGCAGCTGGTGCTTGGAGCAAGCAGCGCGTGAGGAACTTGACAGCAACGACGCCCCGCGGCCGTCGCTCTCGTTAAAGGCCGCGGTTGGCACGGGTGGACATAGCAGATTCTCGAGGCAGGCCTCGTGTCGTTGTTTGCCATTGCCTAGGAATGGGATGAATAATGTTGCTGTCGGGCGTAGCCTTGCCTCTGTTTCTGTCCATACATCTCGGTGGGGATGCGCTGCAAGCAGCGGGGACGGGAGGGGACGTGCAGGTGCCTCGCAGGGAGCAGCCAGGAAGCTCCTCAGCCGCCCATCTTGACGTGTGGGCGTCTGCAGACGTGACAGCCCCTTCATATCACTCCCTGCTTTGGTCTGGGTGGTAGTTTTCCCAGTGCTTCTGCTGATGCCTTGCCTTGCCTTTCCCATGCAGTGCTTTCCTCTCCGTTTTGCCCGTTTTGCACCGTTCCTGTGTCCTTTCTGTGCTCGGTGGGCCATACAGGAGCCTCCTGGCAGTGCATCGAGGCCTGCCAGGCCACGGCAGGAGGCAGCCTCCATTTGCTGGGAGCCAACCTCTACCATCTCCGTGGGGCACATTGCAGTGCGAGCAGATGCACGTGGTGATGAACCCTCCCAAACTTGCTTCTCCACTCTCCGCAGGGACTTCAAGAGTAAAAATGTCTTGCTGAAGAATGATTTGACGGCAGTTCTGGCTGATTTTGGACTTGCTGTACGGTTTGAACCTGGAAAACCTCCAGGGGACACTCACGGACAGGTAATCATTATCTTTAAAAATAGCACTTGAGAAATGGGGCCTGCTGCAGCTCTGTGCAGGTAGCTTCCATAGGTGCAGTCTAGGGCTTGGGAGATGACAGGAAGGTTGTTTTTGTTATCCTGGTGTCATTCGCAAGGGAGGAAAATGCTTTTTCTCTCCCATTAGCTATATGGGGAACTTTACTCCAGAGCCTGGTTAGCCAGGAGAAGATAGACTGAGAGGGTATCTTATCAGTGTGTGCAAATACCTTAAGGGAGGGTGTCAAGAGGATGAGGACAGATTATTTTCACTGGTGGCCAGCAACAGGACAAGAGGCAACAGATTGAAACACATGAAGCTGCCTGTGAACATGAGGAAAAACAACTTGACCGTGAGGGTGATGGAGCCCTAGAGCAGAGCCCTGTACAGGATCGCGTCCAGGTGGGTTTTGACTGTCTCCAAAGAAGAAGATACTCAAAACCCACCTGGACGTGATCCTGTACAATGTCAGTTGGACTAGAGGATCTCCAGAGGTCCCTTCCACCCGGAGATTCTGTGAGGGGAAGCACTGGGACACAATGCTGCTGAAAAGCCCGCCCTGCATCTGCGTGCAAATGTACCAGCACCTTCTCCCTGCACACCTTTCCCTGGACCACATCTGTGCATTCAGCTGTCTTCCAGATGCTGCATTTTTCCTGAAAACAGATGCTTAGGCATAAGCCCAGTGTCCACAAGGAGAGCAGAGCACTTCCCACTCCCGCTCCTCTCTGCCGTGCGGTGCTTCCTTCCTGACCCCAGAGGCGAGCAGCCTATTCCTCGAAACATGGGATTCGATTCC